AAGGAATGCCCCATCGCTAGAAGAAGGGGACAAGTAGTGCACACTGTAGCGTCTACATTGGCATCTGATGTCAATGAAGCAGTCAGGCTTTTGCTCTCGATAACAGAAGAATGGGAGTCTGGGATTGGAAGTTGACTGCGTTCTTTTGGTTTAGAGCTGTCTTTGCAAACTGGTTGTTTTAGCTGTGTTTGTTGCTTCTGAGTCTGCTTCCGTTGTTGCTGCGGTTGTTGTGATAGTGGCTTCTGTCGCTGCTGTTGGCCCGTCTCCACCGGTGTCAGTTGCATCTGTTTAATGTCCCCTGCATGCTGGTTAGTCAGACCAATTGCTGCAGGGTTGGCCAGGACACTGCGCATCCAGAGCTGTCCGGCAACTACAGCCTCCGGAAGACAAGGTGATTGAGCGGGCAAAGAAAGGCCAGATTGCGCAGTGGAGAGGAGTAGAGGCAATAAAGCATAAGGAAGACGGTGCCGAATATCCACTTAGACATGATGAAACGAAACAAAGGAAGAGAAGAAAATTAATTAGGGATTCAAATGAGAAAGACAAGGATCTCAGACTGGAGAGAGGGTTAGGGAATGGATAAGTAAGCTACAGTTTTAGAAACTAAGCAAATGAATAACAAGTTAAGTAAAATCCAAAATATCAAGCAAAATAGTTAATTAGCTGCGAAGGAATTAAAAAATGGCTAAAATGACCAATGTGTAAAATAAGAGAGTAAGGACCTAATTTTAGGAAGAAACAATCTTTCTTCAATTAAGCTAAATCAAAGTACGTATGACAAAAAAATACCAGCTTTATTGAAATCAGGCTTTTTGGCGTGAAATTGGAATACATTTCAAAGTGAAAAAATAATATGGGATCAGGTATCAGTAGCTTATTTAAACATAATACGCATTGGTAGCATTTGGAGATGACAAAGCAACCAAAGTAGGCGATAAAGTAACTGACTTATACATACAGGTCACAGAAAAAAAATATGATAGATTAAATAAACGCCCAGTAGCGTAGTTATTAATAAAACGATTCTCCTGAAGTCATCGTTTAAAATTGTTATCAAAAGTTTAATAAAAGTAAGGAGCGTAGCAATGAAAAGATGGCATTAACCCGCAATATAGTGAAAAGCTCACAAACTTAAGAATCTCAAATAACAAGACAAAGCACCAAGTTCTCGGGAAAATCATTACTTTTAATTATCTTTCGTTTACAATTAGATTTTCAAGAATACCAGCAAATGAGTTATATGAGATGTATTCACCCTATTTCGTTTAAGGTGATGGAGTACATATAATTGGATTTTCCCAGGAGGATATGAGTATAGCTAACGTTTCTATTGAATTTAAAATAGTTTCAAAAGGTGTTCTCCTCCACGGCAGACTGCAGTTTCGACGTCACATAGGTCTTATCAACACTCCCAGTGGAAGTCTAACCATAACAATGCTGAGTGTAATCTCGACAATTTAATAAATACACCACATTGCCAT